GTTAATTTCAGTGTCATGAGCACAGAACTCTCTTTCACGAGTGGATAGCCTGGTTTCTATACTATAGAAAATCAAATCACATTCAGAAGATAATTGGACACATCCTAACAATGCTCCTCCTAATAGGATCATATGTCTAGTGCATCTTCTGGTGTCTATCACTGATAGTTTATAAATAATGGAATCATTAGCTACCTCCCCTGCTAAGATGCATAAGGGACAGCATGGCATCTTTCATAGTGACAGCACAGAATACACCTTTGGCACGCAGTAGAAATTTAAAGCAGGAATAGAAGGAGGAAACAGGTTAAAAAATGAGGCAGGGAGTGGTCAAGCTGCATGGTAGACAGATTAGAGAATTATTGGCAGACACTGCCAACAGGAGTGGTTACCCTGCAAACATTCTAGCATTACATTTTTTGCTGTTGATATCAGGAAACTTTAGGTGGCTTTTCTCCAAAACTGAATCATTTGGCATGCTCAGTAAAGGAAATTATAGGATAGTAGATGACTCCCCATTTCTAAATTAATTCCTTCTGCTTCAGAAAGGAAAATGAGCTTTCTGCTTTTGTTCCCAAACTCTTCCTCAAGTATAGCTTTTATTTAAATACCCACCCCTGAAATCTTTACTCCTTTCTCACTTGTGACTTTAGGGTCATGTAGTTTCTACTTCTTGAATTCCCGAGAAGCATTAAAGGCATCGTTTTCACTTACAGAACAATCACAGAACAATGCTATGTCCCAGGGGATTCTTTTGCTGGAAGGAGATATGCCACTGCTATGTGGGTAGAACAGCCATTGTATCCTATATATATTTTACCCCAGGAGAACATACAGATTGGAAAATGCCAAAATGGCACAAAAATGGTGGATGTCTTGAGCATCCATGAAAACATCGACAAAGCTCAACAAACAAGTACTGTGTACCTTGGTATCCTCAATCCACCCACAAAGGAGAACACACATGCACACAGAGAGAGCAAACAACACACACACACAATGTTGCCACAGCAGCCCTGTTCCAAGAGCTCTAGTAGCACAGACAGCAAAGACCTCACTATTGTCAGTCCACACACCCCAGGCATCTTGACAGGATTCTTACAAGATTCTTGTTAGGCAGAGAGCTGTTAGCAATGTGTGTTCTACCCATGTGGGATAGGCTGTTATATGCAAAGTCCTCTCCTTTTGTGCAAAGTGCCCTTTCCCATAGCCCCCCTCACCCAGAGGCACCAGGTTGTCCCCGAGATCAAGGGGGCCAGGTGCACAATGCATGTGGGTGACATCACATGCACAATGCATGCGTACTGTCCAATGTTCGGAGCAGGCAAAGCGCTCTGGAGGAGTCGGGCACTGGAATTGTGATGCCGCACATACGCAATGTGTGCCAGACTCCCAGCCCCTTCCAACAAATATCAAGGGAGTGGTTTTCTGTTTACTGTATTTTTCGCTCTATAAGAAGCACTTTTTCCCTCCTAAAAAGTAAGGGGAAATGTGTGTGTGTCTTATGGAGCGAATGCAGGCTGCACGGCTATCCCAGAAGCCTCTAGCTGTTCTAGCTTCGCGTGAAGCATCTGCAGGGCACGGGGAGCCACTGGGGATGGGGCTTTGAATTTGACAGAAGAATCAGCAGCATCTGATTTAATCCTTTCCACTGTGCCATTTCCTTAATCTATATACCCCACCCTAAAGCTGCTGTTAGACAGGCAGGGATACATGGTACCTGTATTACCACACCATGGCTCTAACACAGCTCCAGGGAAGGGAGTATTTGGATTAAGAAAATGGAGGCATGTTTTTAAGCACTCCCTCCACTAGTGCTGCTGATTTGATCAGATTTTGAGTCCATCATTCCTTTCAGGTAAGAATAAATGTTGGGAGATCCAGTCATAGACCTCCCACATAAATGGTAGTTTAGCTCCAAGGCAAGCTGCTATTAGACTCAGCCACTCCATTTGTAACTCAGAGATAATACTGCAGACCTGCCTTTCGGGGTTATTCTAAGGATTACTGAGATAATGCATGTGATGATATTGCAGTTGGAAAGCTTAGCAAAAGCACTATATAAGTGCTAAGAATTATTATTTTGAAGCACCCTGTCCATATGGACTACAGGTAATAGAACTGCTAAAACTGTACATCTGGTTCCCTACACGAGTATTCACTGACATTGGTTGGGGATGCCTGCCTTATGCCCTGCCCTGAGTTTCCCTTACTCATCTTTCACCTATCAGCATTAAGACACAAACACAGAAGCATCTGTAAAACAAGAAAATCCTTAATAAAATATTTAAAAAAAAAAAAACAAACACAGAAGCAAGCACCGACATTTTGCTCCTTTTGCTAGAGAGGCAATTCCATTCCAGGGAATATGGTTACTATTCATCTGTCGCAATTGTGGGAACAGCTGCTGTGATGTTCAGTCTAAGGAGTTTTAAAGGAGCCCAGTGCAAAAGCAGGAAAGTAAAACTCCCTGCAACTGAAAGTTCCCTGATGATTATCCTATAATCCTGCCCATCCACTCCCCACCATGAAATTTGGCTGAGGCTCTGTGTTTTGCATTATTTAGTTCCATGGTTCATACACTCCTGTTCTTGCAACCTCTTCCCTACAGCTGTATCTATCCTTATACCCCAGTACTGAAATTAGTATTCAGGATGAAAACTGGTCTGTCCTACATTTTCTATTTGTTTTTCTTCCCGTATTTTTAATTACATGAGATATATGCACGAAGGCAGCATCTGGGCCTTTTCTTCGTTTCCACTGTATGTTTTAATTACAATAGGAATTCCACGATAAAAAAGTTATTGAAAGGAAACAATGCAATTATCAGATATAAAACTGGTTTGAAACATCTACACGTTGCCCCTTCAATCAATCCTCAGCAGAAAAGGAACAATAAAGTTTTACAGAGAAAGATAAGTGAAAATTTTAAGTAAAAAAGGGAGGAAAGTTAGAAGGCAAAAAAAAAAAAAAAGAACCCAGAGTTAATCAGTTAACAGGAAGCGATAGGAAACCAGAGACTATCAAAATTTCACTCTAATGCAATAATTTTTATTATTATTATTAAAAAGTGTGAGTCCAATGAGCTCTGCTGACTACATGGCATTTATTGGTCTCAGCAGGGCCTTCAGACCATATTATGAGCCCTTTTTTGAGCCAACTAAACCCACACAAACCTTATTCAAATGAATGGTGGTTGCTCAGAAGTGTAGCTTAATGGATTGCACCCAACTGCACTGCACCCAGAGTGCCCTTAACTCCTTTTTAAAAAATGATCTAATAGCCCCTGGAATAGTTCCATCACTGAAAGTAAGTAGCCTAAGGCCAAAAACTGAAGAAAGCGCAAGGATTTCCTCTGCCTTGGGAATCTGCTTACAGTGAAGTTAGCCCCAAGGATGAAGGGGAGCAAATAAATGTAATAAATAAAGAAGTGAATATTTGTGTTGTATGGCTGCATGCACACCATACATTTAAAGCACATGACTTTCCCCAAATAATCCTGGGAACTGTAGGGTTAGAAGGGACCCCGATGAACATCTACTCCAACCTCTCGCAATGCAGGAATCTCAACTAAGGCATCCATGACAGATGGCCACCCAACCTCTTCTTAAAAACCTCCAATGAGTCCATTCCACTGTCAAACAGCTCTTACTGTTAGAAAGTTCTTTCTGATGTTTAGACGGAATCTCCTTTCTTGTAACTTGAATCCATTTTGTTCCGTGTTCATCGAAGGAAAACAAAATGAAAAGGCCTTGCCTGTGAGGCTTTGCCACTCAGAGTAAGTTTAAAATGTAAAAGTTGGACTGAGAAAGAAAGCACACAAGCCGTTTTACCCATGTTTGTTTCTAGCTTCCTGGCCTCCTCTGGAAACAGCTGTTCCTAAACATCTGTATCCATGTCATGAATTTGTTAGCTGATTGTGTCACAAGAGAGGCAAATTGCTTTGACTAGATTGGCAGCAGCATTTCCCACCGTGACATTAACAATCTTTGAGACGTGGGGGTGCAATCTGTGTTTCCCCAATTATAGGGCGCTGGGGAGCTTTTGCAGTTCACCAGGATGCCAAGTGAGGTGCTCGGAGTGCTGTTGTGTTTATCGTGGTGCCACTAATAAAACTCTTTGGCTTTTTTGTTAACTCATAAGCTTTTTATCTGTTTGGAATGTTGCTGCAGTGCTGGCAGAGAGCAAGGAAACCAGTCCAAGGAAAGTAGATACGCTTTGTTAATCTGTTTCTGTGTGTTAGAATGCATATAAAAGTTCCAATGTCAACATAAAAACATAAGATGAGCCCTGCTGGATCAGGCCAAAGGTCCATCTTGCGCAATACCCTTTTCTCACAGTGGCTAACCAGATTCCTTTGGGAAGCCTGCAATAGCACACTCCCCAGTAATGGTTGGTTTATTAGGGCAACACCCCACTTTAGTCTGCCTTCATCTAGCCCCCACATGAATTTGTCTAGTCCTCTTTCAAAATCATCCAGTGGTGGTGTAGTGGTTAAGAGTGGTAGACTCGTAATCTGGTGAACCGGGTTCGCGTCTCCGCTCCTCCACATGCAGCTGCTGGGTGACCTTGGGCCAGTCACACTTCTTTGAGGTCTCTCAGTCCCACTCACCTCACAGAGTGTTTGTTGTGGGGGAGGAAGGGAAAGGAGAATGTTAGCCGCTTTGAGACTCCTTCGGGTAGTGATAAAGCGGGATATCAAATCCAAACTCTTCTTCTTCTTCTTCTTCTTCTTCTTCTTCTTCTTCTTCTTCTTCTTCTTCTTCGCCATCAGTATATCTCATAGGAGCAAATTCCATAGTGCTGAGTGAAGAACTACATTTTTTGTCTGTTCTAAATCTTCCAACATTCAGCTTTGTTGGATTGCCTCAAGTTCTAGTATTATAAAAGGGGGGGGGGAGAGAATCTCCTTCTCTCCTTCTTGATTTTAGGCAGCTTTCATCAAAGAATCATAGAGTTGGAAGGGACCCTGTGGATCGTATATACAGCGAATATACACCTGTTCCATATGGGGATCAAACCTGCAACCTTGGCATTATCAGCACCTCACTCTAACCAACTGAGCTATCGAGGCTGAGTCCTTGAATGCCAACACACAAACACACCACAGGTGAACCTAATGTAGGCAACTATTATCTATGAAGGTATATATCCAAAGTATTGATAAATAAGTGATAAATAAGCTTATACAGACCTAAGACTATATGGGGACAAACATGAACATAAGGAAATGTTCTGTCAAATTTTAGGCCACATAGGCTCTGCTGATAAATAAATGTTAAACAGCTGTCATCATAATACATCTCTCAATATATTTCATATTTTATGGCTTGCTGCCAGCATCCAGGCAATTTTGGCATATGTCAATCCCAGCCTGTTTTAACCAGTCTATGCTTTCCCATATGCCTCCTCTCCCTCTCAAAGGGATGAAGAAGGACTTTCCTTCTCTGTTTACTCTCCCATTCTAATCTGTTTGGTATATTCTGTATATTAATCTTTCCAAGTTGCTTGCTCTCCCCAAATGTCACCCTCAAACCTTATTTGTCTCCGCCTGTCTAGTTCATGATGAATTCTCTGTGATGAATTTTGGGACATTCTGTATGAAGGATGCTCCATAATGCAGCGTATATACTGTGTTGTGGTGCTTTACGATTCCTATTGCATGGCTTTTTCAGATGATATTAAGTCTTACCATTTATGACTCTGTGGATATCTATTTGTCACATTACAATGATCTACGCAGTGTATTTCACTTGTTACAATGCGTACTTATTACAATAGCGGCTTATTCTGGACAAAGCCCAGCAATAATATGTTAAAGATGACTTGTAGCTTGATTCAATCGAACTATTTTACTTGTGGTGGTAGGGCCAATGCTGAAGTAGAATCCTGTTCCTGGCAGATGATCTCTAGCCAATCACCTTCTCTTAGGGTCATACCTAGGAAGTTACCTTATCCTAATCTGAGTGAGGCCATACGAGCATCTAGCTCAATATTATCTATTTCGATTGACAGTGGCTCTCCATGGTTTCAGGCAGGGGACACTGCTAGTCATACCTGGAGATGCCTGGGACCTTCTTGGTGCAAAACAGATGCCCTACCACTGAGCTGTGTCTCTTCCCTTAATATGGTCCATCTCATGGTTTATCCTTGAATAAACTATTTCATTGCATAAATAGCAAGTTTGTATGATATGCATATGTGTGCAGAAACTAGGTAAGGGTAAAGGGACCCCTGACTATTAGGTCCAGTCGCGACCGACTCTGGGGTTGCGGCACTCATCTAGCTTTATTGGCCGAGGGAGCCGGCGTACAGCTTCCGGGTCATGTGGCCAGCATGACTAAGCCGTTTCTGGCGAACCAGAGCAGCGCATGGAAACGGTGTTTACCTTCCCGCTGGAGCGGTACCTATTTATCTACTTGCACTTTGACGTGCTTTCAAACTGCTAGGTTGGCAGGAGCAGGGACCGAGCAACGGGAGCTCACCCCGTCGCAGGGATTCGAACCGCCGAACTTCTGATCGGCAAGTCCTAGGCTCTGTGGTTTAACCCACAGCGCCACCCGCGTCCCTTGTGCAGAAACTAGCTTGCTGCAAATAAGGTAATATTTACATTAGTTGTTTTGGCACGTGGCCCACAGTATGTTGATCAGGAGGAAATGTGGCCCTTGGGCTGAGAAAGGTTAAGCCACCCCTGATCCATGAGGACACTGTTGAAATAGAGAGAGGGTGAGCAGGTGCCAAGTAGGACAGGGCTCTTCTGCCTATAATATTTGTTAGAAGCCGGCATTCTGGCAACTGTAACTTTTCTCAGCCCCTCATGACAAGCTGCACCTGATGAAAACTTTCACTGTACAGTGGTGCCTTGGGTTACATACTGTCAGGGAACTGACATCAGAGCCAGAGGCGGAGGCTAGGCTCTCAAGCGATGCTGGAGAAGGGCCCAGCAGGGGGAGAGGCAGCTCACCAGCTGGGGAAGGAAATCAGCGTAACACCAGGGATAAAGGGGGGCAGATGGGGGAACCGGTGAGGGGGCTCCAGGACTCCTCGCCGGAGACCAGCGAGGAGAGCACGGGTCCTCCGCTACCCACACCCTCCCTGCGCAGAAGACTTCCGCGCAGGGAGAGTAGGAGGAGACTTGGGGTCAAACAGCTTTTATGCTGGAAAAGGTTTAAGAAACGCCCACTGACGGATTCTGCCAGCGACTGAACAGCCACGAAGTGAAGGGCTGTCCAGACAGAAAAGGTTTAACAAGGCAACCTAGCCAGGAGTGGCACCAACTTACGCACGAGCAACCCCTACATTTATTACACATACGCTTCAGGTTACAGACACCACTAACCCAAAAATAGTACCTCAGGTTAAGAACTTTGCTTCAGGATGAGAACAGAAATCGTGCTCCGGCGGCCCAGAGGCAGCGGGAGGCCCCATTAGCTAAAGTGGTGCTTCAGGTTTAGAGCAGTTTCAGGTTAAGAATGGACCTCCGGAACGAATGAAGTTCTTAACCCGAGGTACCACTGTATACAAATATAGCCCACATTTCTAGCTGTTCTCTTTTGGTATAGAATTATATTATATATGCTACCTACATTTTATATTAAGCAAAGTGTTTGTTGACAGAGCTCAGAAGATGGGCACACCCTATCAACATTTAGCTCAGGTAAAATTGAACTGGTATTCTAGTCAGCTCAATAATGTCTATACATTTTTTTTTTAAGTATAAAACAAAACATTAAAAAGGCAAATCCCAACTGATTATTTTTTACTGCATGGAAAAACAAGCAAGAATTACTTGATTCTGCTGATTTTAAGACCCAGACAGTTTTAAACAAATAGATACACAGAAGAGATGAAATAGGCTGGCTGGTTAACATCAATTCTAGATGTGCTGCGCACATACAACAAACCTGCATTGCAGCCAGTGTAAAAGAGCCACCTGTGTACAATAGGATATTGACAGTGGCAGCACATAAGCAGACACCTAACAGACAAAAGGGTGTGATGGATAAATAACTCATTATGCAACTTTTGAAAACCGTGATATTTATACAGAAGTCAGAACCAGCTTCAATCATGTGCATAATCAATTTATTTGCAAACATGCTAATTATGTGTTGACGTGATAGAAGTGTCTTTAGAGTCACCTTGGCATGAAAACATGTTTTGCAAATTTGCCTCCTCTTGTGTTTACCCAAGGGACCAAAACCAGCAGCAAATTGCATAACCATTTAAAAAATAATCTGTAAAAGATGTAAAAGGCTGGCTGCTAGAGAGAATATCATCTAGGGATTTTAAATAATTTGGAAGTTATATTTTTCTGCATGATCTTCTAGACCATATAACTAACATTTAAGGCAGGGGTGGGGAACCTTAGCCTCAGGGGCCACCTCTATCAGGTCTTTGACACTGTCCCCAGGTTGCACACTTCTTCCCCAATCCGCATCCCTCAAAAGCCCTGTTCCAGGCTCCTATTGAGTGCTTTTGCCTGGTCAGAATATGCCCTTGAACTGTGATAATGCCTTCTGCTGCTTGCTTGCATAGAGGATGGAGAGATTTGTGTGTACAAACCTCTGACCATTGCATGGCTAAAATAAAACCTACTGTGCAAAGATGTTACATCCATTGTTCTGCACCCTTTGCCACCCTCCACCGTTTTCTCTAAGGGAGTGTGGCCCTTGGGCTGGAAGAGGTTTCCCACTCCTGATCAAAGGTGTGTATTAGCTTATTGGTGTGATTAATAGTATGCAAGTGAGTAGCTCCATTGAGTGCAATCAGATTACTGACTGTACATATGTCTAAACCTGATTCTTTAAATTTGTGCTTGAGGATATTGTGGGTTATTGGGTGGGGGGAGGTAGTTGCACTTGCTCATGAAGAGAAAGCTTGAAATCAGTTAGCTTACTCACATTACATTGAAAAAGGAGCTTCAAGTTTCTAATTTTAACATACTGCAAAATATTCCACACCCTCTCAGTGTTTGGGGAGCAAGTCAGGTTTGATATTAAGGCTCTTCCAGGATGCAAATATTTTGCACTGGCAGTTGAATGCAAGGTCTGGCTTGTTTTTGCACAGTTCCCCAGGTGGTACAAGCTAGAGGATTTTACATGCAATAATAGGTGGCTTATCTTGCATTCTATAATCTAGATTCTTCCTTGTGCTGGATCTGTTTCACCAGAGCTTGCATATTTTTGGTATGAGAAAGCACGTTCAATGCACATTTAAAGCACCTGGCTTCCCACCCAGCCACCCCCTCCAAATATATATATATATATCTCCTGAGAACTGTAGTTTATTAAGGCTGCTGGGAATTGTAGCTCTGTAAAGGGAAGACTATAGTTCCCAGGAGTCTGTGGGAAGCTAGCCAAGTGCTTTAAATGTGCTCTGAATGTCTTTTCAGTGAATGGTGTGGATCTGCCAGCTCAAACTCCCTCAGCCTTGAAGTTCATTGGGTAATTCTGAAGCTACTCTTTCATAGCCTAACCTACCTTACAAGGTTATTAAAATTGGGGAGATCGCTCTGGGTTCCTTCTGCAGAGCAGGATATAAATTCAACTCACAATAATGCCCACCATCCTTTGAGGAAGGATGGGATAAAAATGTAATACTTAAATATCCCAGGGAGCATGCCGTTAAAGACAAAAGGCATAAGTTATCCAATATCTACGAAGTGTCTGGCAGGGGAGGGAGATTCCCTGGTGGATGGGATTGCTCATGTTATGAGCATTAAGTGTTGGGGTTTCCTTCTTTGGCCAGGATAAAGGTAAAGGTAAAGGACCCCTGACAGTTAAGTCCAGTCGCAAACGACTCTGGGGTTGCGGCACTCATCTCGCTTTACTGGCCAAGGGAGCTGACGTTTGTTTGTAGACAGTTTTTCCGGGTCACGTGGCTAGCATGACTAAGCCGCTTCTGGCAAAACCAGAGCAGCGCACGGAAATGCCGTTTACCTTCCCGTCGGAGCGGTGCCTATTGATCTACTTGCACTTTGACGTGCTTTTGAACTGATTACCAAACAGTTCATGGCCATTTAATGGACGCAAGCATTTAGATGTGCAGACTGGCTTGTGTTTGGAGGACTGC